TTTTTTTTTTCTTCAACTTATTATTATTCTCGGGATCTTCAAGGAAGAATTATTATTATTGGCGGACCATTCGGACAATTAAAATTGCCAAAAGGTCTGCAAGTCCGATGCGGAATCAGGATGAATTTGTATTTAAATCATTGGATCTATTGATGTAATTTGTTCAGTATATTGCAATGCGTCGTCCTCTTGAATCAATTGTTTTGTTACCGGTTATAGAATTATCTACAACGTTCAAAGGGTGCGTGAAACGAGAGACATCCTGAGAAAGATTACAATAATGCAAAGAAACAGAATTTCTTCGAGGACTGTCGATTCGTAGTTAGACTACGAATCTTTATTTTTCTCGCAGAATTCCAGGATGCAAGATTGCCGTCGAGCTTCTCTTCATTTCTCTCTGATTAAAAATCTTCACGAAAAAAAAAAAAAAAAAAAAAAAAAAAAAAAAAACAGTGAATTCGCGTTCTAACGGTAAACACTTTGTTTTCTCGTAATTTCCCGATGCTACTTCACTTTGCCGAGCGACTTCTTATTTAACATCGAGGAATGCTTTTGCATTTGAATTTATTATTCTTTCCCGCGAGGATGATTAAATTAGCGTAAATGTCGAGATTAATTGGAGGACCTAATAGAGAAAGCGCGAAAGAAAAAAAGAGAAAAGAAAAAGGAAACAACGCGGCAGCACGGTTTTCGAAGCTACGATTATCTCGCCGGCTATTATTCTCGAATTCGTTTCCGTCCGACGCGAATTGCGAGAGACAAAACTGGGTTAGATAACCCGGGAATGGGAAAAATGGTCTTCGTTTTTGAAACGAAATGGAACGTCAACGCTACAGCCGCCGGTGGCGTTTCCCGCGTTAGTCGGTCCTCACTTGGCACGATTGTTCGCGCGATTCTTTTGCCTCCGTGGACAGAGATACTCGCCGAACGGCGAGGGGAGTGAAAACGAGAAATGCTTTTCAGTATAATGAATGTCGGCTCGCGTTAAAAACAGCCCGCGTCGCGAGTGTGTCACGTCTGGAATGCGTCGCGTTCAGCCAGCTCTCGAGGAAAGCGAAATAAGCGATAAACGAACGAATTTGTCAGGCTTGGTGCTGGTCTGTCAAATCTGTTGGTCGAGCAAACACGTTTCGTTGCTGCAGCGAAACACGTTTGTTTAAAAAATGAAATACAAATATCTTGAATTTTGTTAATTACAATCACGCACGCGCAATGAAATTCCAAGATGTTTTATGTAACATATATAAAATATATTTATATTTCGATATATTATATTTCGTGTAACGTGCGCGTAAAAATCTCCTCCAACTGTCTGAGAACGTTCGCAATGTTTCCCTGAAACTGAAAGATCAAGACAAGCGCAAACGTTTCAGCTCGCTGTGACATCACATGCATAGCGTGTGAACTTCAGTGCTGCGCTTCACTATCATAGAGGACGACTGATTTATAATGATTATAGAGTAAATGACACTCTGAACTTAACTCCTTAACGCTAGAACCACCAAAGTGGTCAATTTATAATTTTCGTTAGATACTCTGTAGACGTGAAACAGCCTGTTTTTTATACATAATTTCTAAATAATTTTTCGTAAAATGTACAAACAAAAATTTGTATTATCTCTATTTCTTCGACTTCACTGTCACTGATGGGAATTTTATTCGCTTCACTATCGTAGAGAACGACTGATTTATAATGATTATAGAGTAAATGACACTTAACTCCTTAACGCTAGAACCACCAAAGTGGTTAATTTATAATTTTCGTTAGATACTCTGAAACAGCCTGTTTTTTATACATAATTTCTAAACAATTTTTCGTAAAATGTACAAACAAAAGTTTGTATTATCTCTATTTCTTCGACTTCACTGTCACTGATGGGAATTTTATGGTTCGATCGGTCGGTAGTTTCAGTGTTAATACAACACACGCTCGAAATCGCGATCTCTTGGATACGGGAGGAATTAAAGCGAAACGCGTTGCGAATCAACCGGTACGTATGTAAATTTCCCCTCGCGAGAGAACGATTGAGTGCTTTTCAATCGTGCGTAGCCGGTTTGCTCCAGGAGCAGCTGTCCTCGGGGAGAGGGGCGAAACAAAAACGCATGGTCGCGCAAATATTG